CCCTTTGGATTAGGTCTGCTTTAGACCCCATGTGATAAGGTCCTTAGACTTTTGTGCAAATATCCAGCTCACCTACTAGAGCACTAGCTTGTTACTATTTCCAAGGCTTAATTCATTTGTTGATACAGCTTCCAAAGACTCACCCGTGTGCGTGTGTGAACCATCTATATACCTAAATTCTTCCTTCCTGCTCAATTATTGTGGTGCCAGTATGGCGTAGTGGTTTGAGTGTTGGACTATGACTCTCAAGGTCAGGGTTTGAGTCCCAGCTGAGCCATGAAACCCACTGAGTGACCTTGGGCAAGTCACATACTCTCAGCCTCAAGAGATGGCAATGGTAAACCTTCTCTGAACAAATCTTGCCAAGAAAACCCCATGATAATTTCACATTAGGGTTGCTGTAAATCAGAAACTACTTGAAGGCATACAACATACACAGCACATGGGGGTCATCATATACTCTTCTCTGCATCCTTCTTCTGACTAGAAGCAAGTCAGCTAAACTAAATGTTCTTCATTCCATCTCCCTAAGAAAGAATAATTCTTCACTTTACCTAAAATTTTTCTCTTAATTTCCAAACAGGAAAAATATTGTGTGCTTGTGTGTGTGTGTGTGTGTGTGTGAATGAATGTAAATGACCAGATGTGAGCAACTGTGATTGGTACTTAACACTTAGCAGCATCAACAGGGGCTGTCCGTAGGTCTCTGGTTTTGGCTTGGAAACCTCGTGGCCTGGGATCTTGTACTGGCAAAGTATATTTACTGATTAACTTCTTGTGACTTGCAGGAGCTGGCACAAATGCAAAGGCAGGTAAGCGACACAAGCATCATCCTCTCCATGGACAACAATCGAGACCTGGACTTGGACATTATCATTGCTGAAGTCAAAGCTCAGTATGAAGATATGGCAAATAGGAGTCGAGCTGAAGCAGATGCCATGTACCAAAGCAAGGTGTGTATACCTCCAAGCTTAGAATTGTCCCTTGCATAATGCTTTAAAACAAAATGTCACTTCAAGCCTTTTTTTTAAATCACAAATTGAGATCAGGGGAATATGCGATAATTTCTCTCTCCTTAAAAATCATTTGAGCAACTAATACACCAGTATATTTTTCAAGTTACATACTTCCTGATCAAAAACAGCACCACAAAAGAGTATTCCAGGATTGACACTTGGAGACATTTATATGTAAAATAGACATGCAACAACTAATCACAGATTTTCTGATTCTCAAAAAGAGAAGGTATCTTGACCTGCCAAATCAATTAACTGTGTGAAAATTTTGTTTTGGAATAAGAGTGAAACCAACTTCTCCTTTGCTGTTCCCATTTTATGTGTATTTTGCGGAGAAAAGGCCTTATGTGTGCATGCGCCTTCAAGGCATCTGTTGACTTATGACAACTCCATGAATTTTCTTGGTTTTTTTTAGGCAAGGAATACTCAGAGGTGGTTTTGTCAGTTCTTTCCTCTGAAATATAGTCCACAGCACCTGGGATTCCCTAGCAGTCTCCCATATAAGTACAGATAAACAAAGTCTACACTTCATTGCCCCCTTAGTGTAGCATAAATATCCACACATAGAACTATGCTATGCCGGCACTATCCAACCCAAATGCAACATGGTTCAACATATGTCAATGACTGGGTACTATGTAATGTGAAATTGCAATGGACAATTCTGTGAGAGAAGCTATGAGCTAACCAATGAGATTTAGGGGCAATCAGTATCTCTTCCACATGATTCTTTCACCTCCAGACACTGGGCAGTGAGTATTCCTTCAGATACTAGATTTGACCATGAATTTGGCCCTAAGGCCTGCCTGCTGCTCATTTGAGTTATAATGTCTTGACACATAAAATCAGTTTCAGGAACTTCAGCTGACAGCTGGGAAGCATGATGATGCCTTGAAAAACTCAAAGTTGGAGATTTCTGAGCTGAATCGACTGATCCACAGGTTGAGAGCAGAGACTGACAATGTGAAGAAACAGGTAGGATGCACCTCTTTAGTGGAGACACCCAGAAAAAGGTGCTTTCTTTACATTTGGTTGTTATTCTTGTGCTACTGCAAGGAATAGATGCTTGGAAAAATGTTTAGAATGGTCTGGAAATTGATTTTTTTTAGCAAAGTACTAGTGATGCTATTTAATAAAATGTAAAATTAAACAGAGGGTTAGATCTTATCTCTCTTTTTTGGTAATATTTTAATTATTTAATATTTTAATGGCAATAATTTCCCAGTTAAACATGGCTTAGCTTGCAAATGAGAATTTTCTCTTGCACATGAAGCAGTGGACCTGTTCATTCTCACTTTTTCTCATACTTCCCCCATCCAGATAATTAACCATCCTAAATTCTATGACTTCAACAATTTTACCTTCTCAAATGGACATTTACTCAGTGATTATCTCAGATCATTTCCCTCTTTCCTCCAAATCATTATTCTGTTCCATCGTTGGCATAACTCTTTTAAGAATAATTACTATTTCACACACTGTTTTGATGAGCTGTTGCTTCACTAATTACTTGCACTCTTTAAATAAGGGAAGAATAAGTTTGACCTTCAGATATTTTGACCTATGACTCCCATCAGCCCTATCCACCATGGCCAATGAAAAGGGATTCTGAGAGTTATGGGACTAAACCAGGGCAACCTTTTTGAGCCTGGGGCCGGTCCCCCGAAGTCATCCTTTCCGGAGTGCTGGGGGGGGGGGAATGGCGGCGTGCGCGCTCATGCGCACGTGCAACCCCCGCCACCTAACGTGACCACCCCGCGCGTACTGCCACCGCTGCGTGCGTTGCCGCAGCCGCCTCTGCGCATGTCGTGGCCACCATTTTGTTCCCGAAAATGGTGGCCGTGATGCATTTGCGCATGCGCAGGAGTACTGCGCATGCGCAAATGAGTCGTGGCCACCATTTTGGAGAATAAAATGGCGGCCGCCACTCATGACTGCCATTTTGTTTTCCAAAATAGCAGCCGTGACTCGTTTGCACATGTGCAGTACTCCTGTGCATGCTCAAACGCATTGCAGCTGCCATTTTGGAAATCAAAATGGCGGTTGTGGCGTGCACGGCCACATGACAACCAAAATGCATGGCGGCAGTGGCAGGCGGTAGTGGCAGTGGCAGGGGTCCACCTGGGCTGGTAAGTGCAGGGCCCTGGGCCGGAACCGGCCTGTGGGCTGTAGGTTGCTGGCCCCTGGACTAAACCAATGGGGAACCAGAGGTTGTTAATCCTGGCTTTACATCCTAGTCTTATGCACATTTATTCAGAAACAGATTCTATTGATTTATATTGAGTGTACTCCTTAGCCTGTGGAGGGTAAATAAAGTTGAGGGCAGCTTTTGTTAATTGATACTTTCATCCATGTAAGCTGTCTGGATTCCTAAATTCCATGGCTTTGTTTTGCTTATGGTGTAACTGAAGGCGCCTGGTAGTTAAATGCATAAAAATAGACCCTGGTCCTTCAGATGAATTATATCAAAGCAGAATTAAGCATTTAAGACACCTACAGAACTTTCTTAAGCTTTTTTATATCATGGTCATCAGGCCTTGGTTGTGTAAAATCTGAATTGTTTTCTTGTCTTTGCATTTTCTTGGTAGTGTGCTTACCTTCAGTCATCCATTGCTGAGGCTGAAGAACGTGGAGAGATAGCCCTTAAAGATGCAAGGGAAAAGCTGACAGAACTGGAAAACGCTATGCAGAAAGCAAAGGAGGAGTTGGCCCGTCTTTTGCGAGATTACCAGGAACTTTTGAATATCAAACTAGCCCTTGACATTGAGATTGCCACCTACAGGACACTCCTGGAAGGCGAGGAATGCAGGTGGGTATCATGGCACCCAAAGTGATTGGCTGCAGCTTCTCATCAACTAATCAGCTATTCAGGCAGTTAATCCACTGATTTATTTTTGAGAATCTAGCTGTTACACTGACCCATCCCCATTTCCCCCTGAAACATGGTGTCTGTTCTTCAAATATACTGAAAAAGGAATCTACAACAGTTCCAGAAGAATCAGTTCAATTGATGGCTGTACCTCTATTGCTGAATGTGATGCTGAGTGGCAATTTGATATCAAGGCTGGCTCCATCACTAGGCAGAGTATGGCCTCAGGCAACAGATGTAGGGGACAGGGACAGAAATAGGTAATTCCACTCAACACCTCTCCTGCAACTATTCCTCTCTCATGGAAGACAGAGATATATGTGCCACATGTGATATCCTACACCAGAGGTAGGAAACCTTTCCCTTTTAAGGGCCTAGGGACTTCAGCTCCCAGAAGCCTCAGCCATGTTGGTCAATAGTCCCATGTTGGCCAATAGCTCCTGGGATTCTGGGAGCTGAAGTCCCTCGGCCCTTAAAGGGGAAAGGTTACCTACCCCTGTCCTACACCTTCAAAGCTGGGCTGCATTTTCAGTTCTGGCCCTGTCTGCATGAGCCAAATAAAATGTCCTCACTTGATCCTACAGCAAGTAGTCTTGATGATACAGGGTTTAATATCCAGTTCTGGTGCGAACTATGCAGCTGATGTCTGGCCAGTTCAGCACCAAATCTGCTGTACACCCCCTTATAACAGTTTAAAATAACTCATCTTTTGCTCTGGATCATTCGAGAAGATTTGGAGCCCTCTGTTGTGATGCTGGCCAGCTGTTCACATCTTTGAACATCCTTGAGCTTCTTTGAAGGGAAGTGTGAAAGAGCTGCCACTGTTGCCATTTTCCCACCCAGGTATTCAAAAAGGTCAAAAGTGGCACTGCAGCAGAGAGAACAGATGGGGAGGGGTTAGTGCTTTTGGAGCTCTTGGGACAGACTAAGCTTTCACCTTTCGCACTTCTACTCAATGTAAGGGTGGTTCCTTTTATGAGAAAAGTATAGTACCTCTACTGACCTGTGGATAAGTCAATCCAGGATTTTGTGGGTCAATTTTTGACCCAAATTTCTAGACATAGGGCCTTTACAGGTTGCCAGAAATAATGCAGCTTGAGGCCACTTTAATTGTCCTGGCTCAGTGCTAGAGAATCATGGGAATTGTATTTTTTTCTGGGACATTGAGCCTTCTCTGTCAAAGAGCTCTGGTGCCACAATAAACTACAGTTCCCATGATTCCTTAGCACTGAGCCAGGACAGTTAAAGTGGGCTTAAGCTGCATTATTCTGGCAGTCTGTAAAGGCCCTTATACATGAGTATATATAGTAAGTTCTCAAAGTGCTTTCATAGGGCTGATGCAGACCAGCAGTTTAGGCCAGCCTGGGGGTGGAGTTGGGGTGGGGCAACCGC